TCTGTGAAACACACGTGCACTAGTGCCTGGATAATACCAGAACTGGTCCCCTGTTGTTTCCTTTTTAAGAGAGGAAACAAAGAAGAATTAGCCCATTGATAACTTAGATATGGATCTAGAAAAAGTATTTTTGTGTGGAAAAGTCTAGATTGGAGCCTCTCAGATCCACATTAGTGCCAGCGTGTCTATCTGCCTGCAAGTTGTTTGCCATTGATGCAGACAGATAAAAGGGAAGTTTTTGTACTGCCTAGACAATAAAAAGGAGGAAATTCTTTTGAGGAAAGGCCTTAGATTCAAATTTCATGTCAGACTCTGGTGATCACATCAAGAACAAAGACAAACATCGCAGCCCAGAAGGAAACAGATAATACAAGCAAAGGGCAGTTCATCTATCTGACAGCCATGGACATCTCTCCACAGAGAAAGGATGAAAACTATGCTGAGAAAATAGACCAGAATTCAGCTCATAATTCTTAGCTGCAATTCAGAGATGGGAAATCATACCTCATATCTTTGATATCATCATTCTGATTTTGTTGGAAATAAGTTATTTGAGCTTTAATACACACCTTCCATAAAACAAAAGCCATACTAAATAAAAATGAATAAAACCTATTTAAAGATTGCAGAACGTCAGTAGTACCCCTGAAAAATTCCTGATACACTTAACTTGATATCCATCTGTATGAACATAAATAACATAATTTGAGTTACATGTGTCTATTTATGAAACAAGCAGAGGCTCACAATTTGGAGGAAATACAGAAATGTCATTCTCATGACACTTCCAGTGGCAAGATTTAAGAGAACGAATCTATATGAAAAAAAAAAAAAGTATTTTGGAATAGTGGGAGACAGTATTGGAATGAGTAAAAGTGAAATAGTGAAAGAAAAAGAACAGAAATTCAAAACTGTAATTCTGATATTGTATCCTAACCTCCAAGTTATCAAGAGTCACTCTCTAATACAGTGAGAACACAGTACAATCTCAGAAGGGAAGACCGACCTTTTCAAATCTGAAAATAATGTGGTAAAGTGAAAACCTTAGTGCTCGGCTCTCTTTTGTAGCTAGATATATTGGGTACTGAGATAGGCACATATCTACAGTTATATTCTATGTAATACATACTGCCTATAAGCTTTGCTAATTGAATACGTGACAAATGCATATATACATCCTCATGCTCTTTCTCTACATACACATGCACACAAAATACATACATACACAGATATATATATATAAGCACTATTTTTCTCTCTAGCTCTAAACACTGTATAAACACTCAGACATACATGTAAACTTTGTTAGAAGATGTGCAACTCTCAGAATTCCTGCTTGGAGCAGATTTCTTTGAGGAAAACATAGACAAAAGAAATGTACCCCTAAGGAGTATGAGGTTTTCAAAGAAACTTATTTCTTTAGATATATTACTAGCAAGCTTTACGGTATTTGACATGTGGTAAAGGTACTTTAATAATTATGGCTCCTAATCACTGTAAAAAATACCAGAATATGTATATTTGATGGTGTGCATGCATTAAGCAAACAGACCGGAGGTGTATTTAAAAACATTGCTTCTCCAGAAGGTATAGAAATACAATTATCAAACAAAATTTATTTTAGAAATAGATAAATAAGACATAAAAGGAACAGTGCTCAGTAATTCAATATGAAAACCAAAATATATATTAAAAATATTTGTTAAAAAGATTTTACAAATAATATTTAAGACCAGGATATACCATAAACATATGCTTTATGGTAAAATGGGAAATCACTGAATATGTGTAACAAAAAAAAAAAACCCCACAGCATTACAGTTTATGTTAAAAAAATCATTCTATTTACATCACAAACCAGCTTTGTTCCTGACAGCACCCTACTGCCCTTCAGCAGTCCTCCACTCAATTAAAGTCAGAAGGATTTAAATCCTCCAAAGTCCGATATATTTTTTGATATGACAGGCAGCTTTCATACAAACTGCAGACTGTGTGCCATAGCTTTTCCTTGGAGTGACTCACTTGATACCAGGGCACGTTTGAGATCAAGTGGCATTGAGCTTTGGTAGATACACATCCATACGGAATCCAGCCATTGACAGCATGACACAGGATGCAGAACAGCAAATCTGAGAGCCATCTTTGGCTGCTGGCATTGTAGACCTAAAAGCAGCGACACGATTAATTTACTCCATAAAAGAGGCAACAAATAAAGCACTATTCTTTTTGGTGAGCCACACATAGCACTGTAACTAACCAAAACCAGACTCTAGGACTTGAACTACAGACACAGACCTGTCTGAACAGACCCACTGAACTGACAGGGCTGGCAACGAGCACCAGATAAAAGGATGAACCTCTTGAGAAGTTTACCGAGATGATAGTGAGTAATAATAACTACAGTCTCAAGTACAATAACATAACTTAGAAAGTTTTGACTGATATGCCAAAGAAAATATAATGAGTGTTCAATTTCAAAAGCAGCGTTTGGTCAACTTGATGATTTTCCCTCTTAGTTTACTCTGACTTCTACGCAGTCAGAAAATCATATTTCTGTAGGTGACAACATTTGAGAAACAGAGTTGGTTTTGACATATGTACACCTAGGTTTTACTCAGGATGTTAATACTCTTTTAAACACCGAAATACCCAAACTAAATACAGAATTCTTTGACTGGCCTCTATTTAGCCTTCGTGTCATTGAAGAGTGTAGAAATTGATATTCGGCACACATACACACTTGGTCAGTGCACGTTAGGCTTTCATGAGACTTTCACGAACCCATTTAACCATCAGAAGGAAGTGAGCTCTCTGAAGAAGCTTACGCCAGTCTATGAAGGAATTAGTTTTTAAAAAGTGATACTTAGATGTAAGAAAATAAAAATCGAAATGGAGGAAACACATGAAACTGAACCACTTACGAGGTCGCTGGCTTTTCCCTTAGTGCATTTGGAGGGTTATTATATTTGGCTGTGCTGACTCATGAGAGAACTAGAAGAGAAAGATTACTGATTTGGACCAATGATCCAACCACTTGATGTACCTTTTGTTTCATATATGAAACTTTTAAAAAGTTTCAAATCATCCGAGATTTTTTTTAAGAATTATTTATTGATATACTAGAATGATATGACCTGTGAAACTCTAGGAAAAATGTAGACCTTCAGCTAGGTTAAATGCAAAAGAACTAGGAATCTCATGAAAAACATTTTCCTCTGCAAGCCCGTAACTGGCACATTTAAATTAGAAAGGTACTTAACAAAGGTTCTCTTCATACTCAGTGTAGGAAGGTAGGCACTTCTAGCGGGCATGCAGTCCTAAAATCAAAATAACTTGCTATAGTAGATCTATGTCATTTCACTACTAGAAAAAAAACTGAGGGCAACTATATGTCCACTTGAGATGACCTAGTTACACATTTGAGGTTAGACTAGATTAACCTCGTCCAGTATCTCAACTCAGTATCCCTTGGCTCAAAAAAAAAAGATTCAGTGTAAGCATTGTTTCTTTGGTGCTTTTCTTAATCAAATATTCTTTTTATGTACATGAGTTTTCTCATCAAGGAAACCTAATTATCGTAAGAAAAGAAATCCAAACATTCAAAACCAAAGAAAAACTAGAAACTGAAAGTCTGTAAAAGCATACTATCTTCCTGACAAAAAACTCTACTAGGCGAAAGGGTTACTACTCTTAACAAGTATCTTTGAATGCTTCCCACCACCCACCTACGGAGCACCTAAGCAAACAACTGTAACAGCAACAGGCAGGACCATTCTTTGTTACACTAAACACTAATTCTCAGATAAACTCCTTAGTATATTAGGAATGAAATTTTAACCCAAAGTAACTGGCTGAATTGTGGCATTGAGTCAACAAATACCATTACTGTATGTCTAACCACTGAAAGCGTTGTTTTTTTAGTTTGAAGCATAAATGCTGCAAGGGTATGATAAATAGGAATAGCAAAACTGTCTTACAGATACATAAACTTCTTCCCAAGCAAACAATTTCATTATTGGAAAGGAAAAATTTTCTGTTAACAGTCATATCTATAATTATGCAATACAATATGCTAAATTACAATACGTACTTCATTATTCATAGAATTTATTTTACAGATCAAATAGCCAAATACACATCTTTAAAAGAGCCAGATAGCAAATGTGGACGAAACTATAGGCAACAGTCATGGTAGACATTCTGCAGTCCAAGAACTGAGGCAACGTGATTAAGTACAAGCCTATAAATATCTTTACATCAAACATACAGTAATGTGTAAGAATTCCATGTTGTAATCTAATTCATGAACCGTTACTAACTTTTTCTTTAAAAGAAAGTTATATATACTGTATACATCCCAGTTAAAAGCAGTGTCTGTATTTCATTTTATTCTAGCAAACTAATACTACATGTCTTCATATAAGTGCAGAAAACAGGGTTCTTTATACTCCTTTGCTTCCTAAGAGATTTTGCATTGCATATGAAATTCTAATATTATAGATGATACATATTGAGCATTACTCCCTAAAATGTGAGGCAGTATACAAGAACTTGCAACCAATCTGCAAACGAAGCTATGATATTCAAATTTTATTTTCTAAATAAGCCGTGCTAAATAACAAATTATAACATAAAGATTTAAATTTTCAAAAAATTTAACTATATAGAGAAAAAATTTTGGAAAAAAAACAATAGTAGGCCATTTTTTTCCCATGTGCTGGCTAACAGTGAAAAAATTATGTATGCTATTCCCTATTTACCACACTGAAAACCAAGCCACTGGATTTATAACTTCCCTTTTTTGGAAATAAAAGTACTTCAAAAGGTTAAATGTATGGCACTTGTTACACAGACATTATCTAGACTTCAGCAAGCAAAATGCAAATTAAATTTTATTTTTAAAAGTTAAGTGAATACTTTCCAGTTATTTAAAAGGTGATTATTTATTACAAAATGTTGTGGATAAGAAAGCAGGAAGTACTAATTTTTTACTACTACTATTGTGCCTATAAAATGAGAAAGCAGTGATGTGATCAATTCTATTTATGATCCATAGCAGCAATATCATCACGAAAAATATTATGGAACAGATATAAATAACACTTCATTCTTTACATGTATAATGGTGCTGTAAGTGACAACAATTCATTTGTTTTTCTTTTAAATGCAGGGAGTATAAAGAACTTTACATTCTCTTTTTAATGTATGAATAAAATTTATTGCTCCCTTTTAATACATATATATAGAAACAAAACTCCTAATCGTTTTAACTAAAATAAATAAGGAAAAAAACTGGGACAAGAAGATGATTACAAGCAAAATAGATTTACCATATTCGCTGACTGTGAAGAAGGGTCACATCACTTTTTTCTTAGCAAAACTACATTATAGAACACTATAGCACAATGTACTAAAATTTCTTTGTCTTTTCTTTTTAAAAAATTCTTGCCCTTGATACCTTTCAGTAGGGCATCTTGAACAGTTCGTCACTTCCAAACCCCTCTGGAGATCAGACGATAAATTTCTTCGGCAATCAGAGACAGGACAAAGGGCTTTCTCGTGCTATTTCCTTGTTTTCATGTTTGCTGGCTTAACATCATTGTGTACACGTACGACTTCAGTATATAACATCAGATGCGATGACGATCAGAGCTGGCAAACAGAGAAACAGCATGAGAAAAGCCCTTTCCTGCATAATTTTCCCCACATATTTGTATAGTTTGTTTCCAAATTTCTACCATGTCAATCACTGTATGGTTTGACAAGTGCTGAACTACTGTGGTTCTAAGTAACCACCCATTTTTGATGTGTGTGTGTGTTTTCAGGTTTCTATACACTAGCAAAGATCTGCAGACATCTATATATACATAGCAAAAATACTGAAACAGAAGGAGCCACAGAAATAGCTTATTCTACTTTTCTTACTATTTTTTCTCTTTATCAGCTCAAAACCCCAAGCGCGGTTGCAAGATTATAGCTATCAGGAGACTACCATACTACCTAGAACATGTTCTACAGGGTTTAGCAGACTTCATTCAAGAGCATTGTTCCTAAGAGCATAAAATATTTTGATTTGAAGAGTTATTTTGCATCTTTAATCTACATTTATCATCAATAGAGTCCTAAAAATTCACAGAATCAATTATTTCACAGGGAAGCAGGCACTATCAATACCACAGTCACCAAGACACTAGCCACTCACTGGTCAGGAAATTGCTATCAACTGCAGATTATCGAGTGCAATATCTTCTGGGAGAAAATAGGAAAAGAAAGAAGTGTGAAAATTAAACCGCAGTTAAAACAAACCTCATTGTTGGCAATGGTTTATAGCTAGAGGTCATTTAAACACACAAAGTTGGGTCACAAAGAGAAAATAGCAAACTTTCAAGTTACCCCACTGAAAAATGGAGGTGAAACACACTTAATGTTTAGGAAAATTTATGCTGCTACTACCCCAGGGCAAACTGCTGTTGGAAAGAGAGTTGCTTATCATTCTAGCTTGCATAAAAATCACCCAGTTGTTAATGCTGGAACTTCATCTACTAACTTCAGTTTAGACTCAGTCAATGAGTCCTTACTGGGGAAAAAAAAAGCGCCTTTGCTTACTCCACATCAGTTTTCACTTTAGTGTCATATTTAAAATCTTTCATTTTTTCCTCATACAAAACGTTAATTTCTTTTTTCTTCCCATTATTTTTGTCTTCTACTATGTGGCAAGGGGGGCATTTTCCATCTATCTTCCCCTACACTTTTCCAGTGAAAGATATATATTAAAAGAACAATTCTGAAGAAGGTTTTCTTCAAAGTGCTCTACAGAGGAAAAGCGTTTTCTTGACCAGCTTTTTTCAGTAGTACTGCACATGTAAGTAACTGCTCACTGACTCCCGAGTCGCAGACTTTCACTTATCCTTCAGTTAGAAATCGTTCCTCCAGATGCAAATTTCAGTTTCTTGGTGAAATGTATATACATGGCAGCATATCAGAACTACCAGCAAGATTACCACCCAGAAAATTAAGAGAAAATAACAAGAATATTTAGAATCACAGTAAGCAATTTTGAAATGGCTTTTAGGAAGGGCTTATACCAACAACTATTTGGCTGACATTTAGGAGAAAATGTTCTTTGAGTGTAATTTACTCTGTATCTGTCAATGCAAAGTACCAGTATTGTATCTATACCCTTTTACGTACCAGAAGCATGAGCACTGCCTACTGATGATTACAGCATACTAGAGTAAACCCACTAGTCTCAGTGTTCTTAAACAAAACTACAAACCTTGCACCTCAAGATTTACATAACAGGTGAGTTTACAGAGCTATTAGATTCAGGAACAGTGTAATAGTCTTTCAATTCACATCCTAAGCACACCGTTCTCATAGTGAGTGGGAAGCTGCAAGGACATTTCACCACACTGCAAATCAGAACCAGAAAATCAAACACACCGTAACTATAAGCAGGTCTAAGCAGTCGCTAACAGAATCATAGAAGTGAGACAGCAGGCCCCCAAAATCCAATGTATTTTAAATGAGGTCTACTTCCCACTCCGATTTCTATATGCAATATAATGTCTACCTCCAATCAGTTTCTAGCAAACCAGTTCAGCAGAGATCATTGTGTCACCTGAAATTTCTATTCCTATGTATGGATACGTTCACACATGATAGAATCCTGGCAACTAAAATCAACTAATGAAGATTTGCATCAGTAAATTTGAGAAAAAACAATCTGCATAGCTGTTCCCTCCCTCAGTAACTTCCCAAAGATGGTACAGCGTACTAGCAGTGGAGCTGAAGTAACACACAGACCAGAGTCCACTGTGAAGCAGGGAGAACCACCAAAAAGCACGTACTCATAGATTCAGAGCATGACTGCACCTCCCAGCTCTATCAGTGCAAGAGGTGAACTGAAACTGCACCAAGTCCTCCAGTGCTGCTTTCATGAACACTCACGCTTCTTCAGTAACACACTGTCAGAAAAATACTTGTTCTTAAGTTCTAGTTTAAAATGACAATACAGACCCTTCCTGAGTGACCGGGTGTTTATTTTTGAAGATTTCTACTCTTCCTGTAGTACGCACTATACCATTTTCAAGTGAAAAGAGCGTCTGAAATAGCATTAATTCAACTAAAGGGACAAGAAGGAGGATGCATGGGAAGTTCTAATGAACCTTTGTGGCAGCAGCTTCTTCGAATCACGCCGTCACAGATAACGTTGTACTCTATAATTATGCATGTTTTGAACAGACAGGTTGATACCTAGACAAGCATTGGAACTGTCTGAATGTTGTTTAAAGTACTTGATTTCAGATTTTAATACTGTGTTACATACTACATGAAAACTAGACTGGAAAAACCTCTCCTTTCATTTCATCATTCCAGTGCAAATGCAAAAACAATTAGAAGATCTGTGTCAGTATGGAATATTTCACACGGTCTGCTCTCAGTAAGGTAAATGTCAGAAGCAATTGAGCTTTTACAAAGTTTGCAGACAGATAAACTTTAAAGGTGTTGTATGTTTTTCTACCAAAGAAATGCATCTTTCTGCTTGGCCCGCAACTATGAAAACAATGAAAATCTGATGACTCTGAAAGTCATCATGATTTTATGAGCCTCCAAATACTCTAATTTGGAAAACCTGCTTATGAATAAGAAGCCCCTTCACAATTTATCACCTGGTAAAACATCCTTAAAAGAATTATCTCTACTACCCCAAAAGAAAGCATACTATTCTGAGGGTCTATGTATTAATTCCTACTGCATAACTTCAAAATAACATGAAGATCTCTATCCTTTGCCCTTTCTCACATCCAAGTACAGCAAAAGCTGGATCTCTCTCCTAGGGGACATCACCATAGGACCATACTTTTCCCTCTTCAACTTCCTGTATTTCATGATTCAGTGTGTCCTCAGCTGCTTCAGGAGTCTCTAATTCCTTCTCCATAAAAATTAATCTGTTGCATCGCTATATTAATTTGTCCACATGACTGCTAAAGGGATATTTTGTTTTTTAGTAGAAAAACTTTTCCATCTTCTCTTGCATGCTTTTTGAGTAGAACTGGTATAATGACTTTCTGTCATTTTATAGATCACTTAGATAAATTTAGCAGTAAAGCAAGACATAATTTCCTTTCTTTAAAGACTTGAATCAATACCATTCAGACAATACACAAAACTTAGAGCTTTAAAAGAAAACATGTATTTTTAGCTTTAACTCAGTATTATTTCAAATATCTAGGTAGAAAGTCTTGCAAGGACAAAACTAGCAACAGCTGAGATGTGCGGCCTTATTAACATCACCACTCATTAGAAACCGAGGAGATATCTTCACAGTGAATATAATCTTTAGTCTCCTTCAGAGAGCTTTTGGCTTATAAAAGGGATGCATTACAGTAATTGTTAGTGATAACTTTTTCTCACATTGGACACCTTATTTTGATTTTTCAAACTAGTACATCTCCCTTTTTGACTGAACTTATTACCCTTCAATTCTCAAGGCTGTCCTACAGTTTTCTGAAAATTCAGAGTGCACGACACAAATGCATCATTAACCACAAACATCCTGTTAGTCTCTGAGGCTAGAGGATGGCGGGACAGCATGGCATCTGAAGTGCTGTGGCAGAAGCTTATTTTTGTTTCGTTTCTCTACTGCCTAACAGTGACAACTCTAAGTTAACCTGCCCTAAGTCGCCTTCTATAGCCCCACAGGAGATAAAACTATACAACCACAATATACAAAACCATGATAGGATTAAGCCTGACTTTGAAATACTTCGCTTGTTTTAACTTTTCATGAAATACAATTCTGCCTTTGTGCTCACGGTCCAACACAAAGGATTTAACTCTAAGTTCTTAAACTGGGCTGTTCTTGCCCAATTTATGTAAATAAATGCATTAATGAAATTATATTGTATTTTAATAATAAAAATGTGAATTAATGTGTTTAAAGGTAAACATTGTTTTCAAATTAAAGGGCCATTGATAGTGAGTAGTTATACTTTCTTTGACAATGTGACCACTTTCATACAGAAAAATAAACCTAAAAGAAGGATGAGGGTAGATTTAACAAAATAAACACTATCATTAATCACTTTTTTATATATTCAGCACATCATACTAATATAATTTCAGGCACAGCTATAATCTGGATAATTAGGATAAACTAATATCAGGTAACGAGTATTAGAGAAACCCCAGTTCTGTTCTGCTCTCGCAGATAGCAAGCCCCTGTCATTGACCTTTCAGGTACAGATAAAAGAACATCTCCAACCAACCTCTGCAGAACAGAATTGCTTTCCATTCTACTTTAAAAGCCCCTTCTGATGAAAGAACTATGCTAGTAAAAACCTAGAGTCATGAGTTTGCTTTCTTTGTTAGCAGCATTACCGCATGACAAAGTGTATTTGAGCACACAACGGAAGAACATTTTTGGCTCAAAGGAATTATACTAGAACTCTATTGAAAAATCACTTAGGTGAGGCCTACAGAGATCCTGAAAACAGCACCATCCTTCTCAGAGTTCTGAGAGTTCAAAACAAATGAACAAATTAGCAAGAAGCTTTCCTAATGTGTAATTTAAATAAACACATTCAAATAACTTTAATGGTAAATACTCAGATCTCAGAAAGGTACACATTTTTCAGTGTTGTCATGTCTTAGAAACAAAGAATTATTCCCCCCCCCTTCAATTTTTCTGCTGATGGATCTCAGAAAAAGATGAAAGTTTTATAAAGTGTAGTGATATGGACTACTGCACAGATCTGCATTGGTAAGGGGAATAAAATAAAATAAAATAAAAAATCCTTCCTGCAATTTTCAAAAATTTGACGATTACTTTGAATAAGAAACTTTTTTTAGTCACTTTTTTTTATCACTATAGTGGTTAACAAAACAAAGCCCACAGAAAAAACCCCAAAACCTCAGCTAGAGCAAAAAGCCTAACAGACTCCTGCAGATTTGTTCCTGAGCAACAGTATTAAAATATGTCGTCAATAAAATAAACTCTCCTGAAATATTTTTCTTTAATGATTAATTCATTGACCAATTAAAGCCTAACTAGAAAACTATTTTCATTGAAAATTTCATGACATTTGTGAAGAAAGAGAAGTAAACAGACAAATGGTAAAGCTTTATTATTAATGAAACTTTCCAGAATATGAACAGACATTGGATTCAATTTCCAGTGACTTAAAGCCTTTCTGTAGGGTCCTGAAGAATAAAAGGTACTTTGGTTCTCATTTTCTTTTTAAGTTTTTTAATTTAATTTTAAGCTGATTCTTTAGACATTTCCTTTGCTGCACTGAATTTCTGAGAAGCTAATATGAGGTTTATCAGGCAGATCAGCAAGTAAGAAGAATTATACTGATGCTTCTGATTTTCCCCTAACTTTGCCTGCCAGCTGTGTCATTCCACCAAATTTAAGTAGTCCAGTATGTTTCTAATCTGAAAATGGCACTGAAACTCTCTGAGGAAAATCCTTGCCTGCTTTTGAGAGACCTTGAAGTTATGCCCAAACGAAGGCTGCAATTCTAGACTCCATTAATATTAAGAACCACTTATCAGATCCTGCAAAGCTTTATTGCTTTCCACTTGGCCTAGATTACTTAAATTCTTGAGCATACAATACTACAGAGGACAGCACCATCACCTCTCTCTGCCTCACAGAGCTGCACTAGGTACTGCAGTAATGCAGGAAGGGCCATGCTGCCATCTGCAGTCAGGAATACCCTCCAATGTAGTAATTCACTGCTCAATTTCCTTACAGCCAACAATCATTTTCTTTTAATTTTCTCCCTTAACACTGATGAATCTCGAATTGTGTACTTTTCAATGCCTCGATCAAACATGACCTTTCAAACTTTTAATCCTTTCAGAAAAGGTGACTTTGCAGTGCTTAGAGCTAGAGTTATAGGAAAGTTATAGGCAAAGTAAGAAGGGAAGGAGAAAGAGAGCACCTTAAAATTTCCATTACCTGTCTGGTGTGTATGGGGCCTGGGGTCTTGAAGCCTCCTTGACAACTGCATTCAGAAACACTGTAAGGGTCCGAGCTGCTTGATGAGCACTTGGAGAGTGAGTCACAGCCCACCACAAAGGTGTTATCTAGAGGCAGTTCCTGAATGACATGGTGCTTCTTAGGGGGTACAGGAGTCTCAGGTTTAATTTGAAAGGTGGGCTGTGGAGAAGCAGATTTGTAGTGCTTTGCTAAATCTGGGCTATCAGGCTTAAATGTGGTTGGTGTGGTGGCCCAGTTATATTTTCCCATAGTCTGTTCTTCTAGCTCTACAGGAATGTCTAAAGTGCCATTTATGTGCTCATGGCCAGGATCATCAGGCTTAGATTCTTCAATAGTCACAAAGTTGAGCAGAAGACTTTTTGGAGAGCGCTTCTTCTTCTTCTTCTTTTTCTTGATCTGCCTGTTCTCTTGGTTTGGAGAAACCCATTCACCACTCTGCTTGTTTTTTTGGACAACCTTGTGCCTAGGCGTCTGGCGGCACCGTACTAAAGCAGTAACAAATATTACCAGAATCACTGTCATAGTGCCTGCAATAATAGCAATGATGATCTTGACATAATCATTGGTTTGTGGGGTTATCTCACCATCCCCAATGTTCTGGCCAACTGGAGTTTCCATATTCCTGCGCACTAGCTCTTGTACGTAAGAACTGTTGGAGACTGTCTCATTCACAAACAAATGCACAAGAGCTATAGTATAAAGAGACTCCGGCTGTCCTAGGTCATTGACTTTTATCACCAGCCTGTGCAAGCCATGATCTGATGTAATTACCTTCTCTTTCAAAGTAATATTGCCTGTTAATTGGTCAATTGTAAACAAGCCCCTTGAGTTCCCACCTATGATGCTATAGCGGAGCTCTGCATTCATTCCTGTGTCATTATCAACTGCAAAGACTTTAGTAACTACAGACCCTGGACTGGCTGATGTTGGAACCAACTCATACGAATAATTAGATGAAGGAATAACGAAAACGGGCCTGTTGTCATTTACATCAACAACATTGATGGTCACTTTGGCAGTTGAGGAACGCTGCAGTCTTCCTCCATCCACAGCTTTCACCTGGAAAGTGTATGACCCCTGCTGTTCCCTGTCAAAGGTAATATTAGGTCTTATTACACCAGTAAGTGGATCTATAATGAAATTATCTCTACCATTCAATATAGAGAGAGTGACCGCAGCATTCTCTCCAGAGTCAGCATCTGTAACGGTGATCAGCCCCACTGTGCCATACATGGGTAAGTTTTCTGGCACATAGAAATTATATTCATTATGTGTGAAAGCTGGGCTGTTATCATTCTGGTCCAGGACAGACACTGTCACCGTAGCATTGGTCTGCAAGGGTGGCATCCCATTATCCTTAGCCAGCACAGTGAAGGAGTACCTGTCTTGCTTTTCTCTGTCCAGCTTTCTCACTGCTGTCAGGATGCCTGTACGGCGGTCCAGGTTGAAAATAGGGGGTGCATCAGAACCCAGGATATAGCTGATCTCAGCATTGCGCCCACTGTCAGCATCTGTAGCGCTTATCTTGGTTAGCTGAGTACCAGGAGCATTGTTTTCAGGGATGGAAAGACCTATGATAGGCTGTGTAAAAACCGGGGCATTGTCATTTTCATCTTTAATTTTGATCAGGAGCATTGCAGACTGGTTTAAAGGAGGTTTCCCCGAATCTGAAGCCACTATTTTAATGGCATATTCCCGTGTGGCTTCGTAATCCAGAAATGTGGCTGTCTCCAGGAGAAACTGGTTATCAAACACCGGCTTTAGTCTAAAAGGGACATCGTGATCTGTAAAACAAGTAACTTTTCCATTCAGATCAGCATCCTTGTCCATGACTGTTATCAATGCAATTTTTGTGTTAAGCGGAGCCTTCTCCGACAAAAGCACTGTCCCGTTCACTGGATTGATGATGTATCTCGTGTCTATTGATGGGACATTGTCATTAATATCTGTGACATTAACAGTCACTGTTGCTCTCGATGGAGTTGAACTGCCATCACTTGCTAAAACAGTTAATTTGTGTACAGGGGATTCCTCCCTATCTAGTGGTTCTCTTATAGTGATGAGGCCAGTGGTGTTATCAATGGCAAACAGCCTCTTGGCCAAACTGGAGATTTGATTGCTGAAATAGAAATGGATTTGTGCATTTGAGCCCAGGTCTGCATCAGTGGCATGGAGCTGAGAAACAGAGGTGCCCACTGGAGCGTTTTCTGGAACACTAACTTCAATGTCATTCTCTTTGAAGACTGGGCGATTATCATTCACATCAGTCACTGTGACTTGCAGGATGGCAGTGCTAGATCTTGGAGGGCTTCCACCATCTTCAACTTTAATTTTCATCACATAGGTATCCTTCTGTTCCCTATCCAGGACCTGTTGGACAATCAGTTGAGGCCACTTATCTCCCTCAGGTGTCTCAATTATATCAAGACCAAATACGTTTTGACCCTACAAGACACAGAAAGAACATACTTTAGCACAATAATATACTTAAACAAAGAAACATCTCATTAGCGTTCTGAAATTGTCATGGAATATATAGTTATATATGTACTGTATATATACAGTATGGACATCTTCAACTAGATCAGGAACACACATTTATATATTTACCTTTATTTTGCAATATCTGATTTTGCTTTAAGCTCTAGTGCCTTAAGAAAACTTCAGAGCAAATACGCGAAGAAATGAATACTTTAGAAAAATGGGGTGGGGTGTGTGTTTGGAGGGAGTGGTGGTGTGTTTTGTTTTAACTAGTTTCCCTATTTCTACAGAAAAGTTTTTAAATTCCTGGACAGATGTAACTTGGTTTCTCTATTGTATGAGTGAGCGTGTAGAAAAGGAACGAAGCCAAAGTGCAACCATGTCCAAAGGCAAGTCAGTCTGCATACACTGCCATACTTGTAATAACGAACAGCTGCATCCAGCCTGGTTCTTACCCTGATTATTCTGCTTGTCTCTCACCTTTACTCATGTAATTGTATGTGTGTTCTAAACTGATTTGAGACACTTCAGACCAAAAGGAAAGAAAATGTTCCCAGTGTGCAAGGTTCCTTATTTCTCTTTAATTGTAAAAGATTTGTATTCACTGTATCTTGCTACCTACTGTTAAGAGAATGCATTTATAGGTCTAATTCTGTGTAAGGATATTCTTTCATTGATTTGATTTCTCAAAGGCAGAATCTGACTCTACATAAGCAATCATTTAATGGAACTATTCATCCACATTTCAAAAATTACTGTGCCACTTGCACAGTATTTGTGACAACATTAAGTTGCAGCTAGGCAGTCTAAAGTGAACTGGAACACGTTCTGAAACAATAAAACAAATACAGCTTTGGCTTCTTTAGCAGAAGGCACATGAAAATATAAGCCTTGCAAATCGTTTCTAAATCAAGATATACATTTTTTTTTAACCAATGAGGTTAAATTTTAGAATGGTAATTCTATGCTGATCTCTTCATGAAGACAGAGTGCAAATTTCCTCTTCATCTTCAATCTGGCTAGCAGTTATTTGCAATGAATTTCATAATTACTGAGAAACAATGAATTCTATATTCTATGCTTTAACATAGATTTCCAAAAAAAAGTAACAGAAGCTAGAGGGAAAAAAATCTGTCAGCTATCTTTTACTTCTTTATTTGTACACAAGTTGACAGATGGGCACTGATTATTCTGTCATTAGATCCCACAACTAAAACAAACACTTCATATACACTTTGAATACATGCAGCTATACATATGCATACCCATTTCTGCTTTTCCTTAACTATCAAGTAGGAGAAAGATACTTTCCATTATAGCGTACGAGTATGGTATAAAACGTAGAGCTTTGGTTCCCCATCCCTAGCAGCAAACTACTGGAGAAACAGAAAAGAATGCAAAAGGTCTTTTCCAAGTTAATTACAGAATCATAGAATAGGTGGAGTTGGAAGGGGCCTTTAGAGGCCACCCAGCCCAACCCCCCTGCAGTGAGCAGGGACATCTTCAACTGGATCACGTTGCTCAGAGCCCCGTCCAACCTGCCCTTGAATGTTACCAGGGAGGGGGCATCTGCCACCTCTCTGGGCAACCTGTGTCAGGGTTTCACCCCAATTATTAGCACTTGAGTAATTTTCTATGGAAAAATATTATCCAAGACTCTTTCTTGCTATTTATTATAGGTTTATACATCTTTTTCAACAATAAAAAAAGACAAAAAATTATACTTTCTCCTAATTTAAGCAAGCCTATTTCATGTTGTTTAAGGTATAAGGTCAGATGTGATATTATGCTACATTTTAACAATGCATTTTATAAGAACAGACAGTATTCCCATTCTAAAATTCAAAAAAATAATGAAACATTCAAGAAAAATATTTTTAAGATTATAAATACCTACTTCTCTCCTTTATGAGCAACGAAATCGAGAGGCAAAAATGCTGAGACAAACATGAAGAAAATCCTTCAGGATTAAATTCTTGATGTTGAAGTAAATGGCTCTATCATCATGAAAAACTCAGTGAGGAGAAAATATCCGTTAGGGTCCGACTGTTTTATTGGACTGAACTGTAGCTCAGTCACTATCCCAGTAAACTGAAGGTTTCATTCACATGAGGAAGGGTAGGAGTCCACAGGAAAAGCACAACAGATAATAAACATGTATACAGTACCTTTTGCCATTAAAATGACTGACTGGTAAAAATAATATTCTACATTATTATCTCCATCACTACAGAAGGACGGGAGTAAGAAATGAAAAAGGTTGACTTTTTTAATCTAAAAAGACAGTTTAAGCAATGTAACCTAACTATGTGAGGCAAAACAAGATTATGCCCATCTCAGAGCCAGGATTACCTTTAAGAGGCTCTGGCCCTAATCACAAGATTCTTTATCAGGGCAATAAGCAACTATGTTAGCTTATTCAGTTTTCATAACATCCTTTTCAGTGGAGTCATACACACAGTAGTCTCTGAAATAATGAAACTGGTATTCTTGTTGAACACTCGCTACTATATATTTACCTGATCATTTGTAATGGATCCAAATGTCCTTTTCGGAGCTGTTTTGGGCTGTTGTAAATAAAAAAATTAAAGAGTTTTTTTAAAATTGTAACATTTAGATAGATTAATAAATACATAATCAATGACACATGGACACTTTATGTGATAAGCTAGAGCAGCTTCTAGTATTATGGGCAGGACTGCACGTGAAAGTGCACGTAAAGTCTACACATAACTTGCCTCTAGACATACATATTGCAGTACCACAGTATCTCACCACAGTGTTTTTTTAAATCCATGGGGTATTGGCTACTTAGACGTTGCAATGAATGTTCTTTCAGGCCAGAAATTGTAATATGGGCTTCATTGTTGAGAGGAATGGGAAACGAGACCAGATTCTGGCTAATGGTCATAACAGTAGCATGGTCTGTTGTGTTCAAAACATCTTACGAAACTACACTTGCAGACAAGTAAGTTAACAGAACATAGTAATTTCTTGAAGAAATAGGGAAGGGAAAGAATATTGTGCTAAATAACCATATAAAACCAACTGCTTGTGATACAATGTACTCTGAAATTAAGACAGTCAATTAGTGATTGTTTCTTAAAGCATTATAAACTATATAATTGTATATAATAACTATACATTGTAAATTGACAAAGAATAGATCAACACTGTCCTCAATCTTCATTCAAAATGAGAATTCCGAACCTTCAGAGAAAGACACACGAGCAAAGACAGCTCATTGTTTTGTGTCTACAACTTTGCCCTATACTTATTACCAATACTTATCTTCAGGCACTGTAAACAACAAACGCATTAAAGGATGTATGTTAGTTTAGTTCAAATGAATCTTAAACAAGGGCTAGACAACATGCATATAATAAACTTTTACTAATGTTCTACAGTAATTTATTTCAATAAATACTTCAACAAGCTCAAAGCGCGCACTTCTATTACAAGTCTACAATCCTCTTAAAAACAGCTAGCTTTATTATTTCTAAAAATCTTACTCTGTCTGAAATCTAACATAAGCAGATTTAGAGTGACTACATTATAGCAGGCCAAATGCAGCAATACTGGGAAATAAAATGAACAAAATATTAAAAAGAGAAAATAAGAAAAAAATAAGCAAAAAAAAGCTACAAAGATAAAAACATCAGCTGCCCATTAGAAAATAACTCAGTAATTCATTAATGTAATTACTTAAGAACAAAACCTTTAGCTGAAATGCAATCTTATGCCCAAAGGACCCTAAAATCTTTCCCGAAAGTCCAGAAAATAATGCATGTTTGCTAACTGTTAGTTATTTCAGATGTATCAACACAGAAAACCTTTGCAGGTCTGTTGTAGAATTACAAGATAGGTCCCAGTCACTGTTTCCTTGTCTGTTTTTGTCACGACATACGGAACTGCTCTTTAAATGTACTGTTATATTAGCAAAGAAGAGAGCATGGTAGCACAATTTCAATTCCTAATGCAGAAAACTGGAAAACAGTTATACAGTGAACAGCATTTTTAATAAAAGCTGCAAATTAAACTTGCATTTTTCTTTCAAAGGTGATAGTTTGGATGTGAAAATGTGAATTCCCAAAGCCAAGCTAAAGCCTTAAACACAAAATATTCTACATGATAGGCAATAATGGATGTAAGTTCCTATAATAGGTGCATATTAGTACACTCAGATCTATAATATCATAAGTGTTGTAGCTCTAATAAAGGTCCCTTGTTTGCTATTACTTACACAGTGTGCAATTCACGTGTTTATGCATTGTAGAAGATTAAAATTTGCTAGACAGCTGTCCTGTTTAAAGACTGCACAGTCACCACCATCATCACAACGCACAGCTTACAACTCAAAGTTACCTGAAGTATGTGTTATTAATACCCACAGTTACCTTACGAACCGAGTGACAGTACCCTAAAATTACAAAGGTAAGAAATTTTTATAACACGAATCTCAGCAGATGCAAAGTTGCTTACATATTTGAAACAGTAGCTCTTTGTCAAAACAACTAGAGACTTCTAATGTGTAGGCCAAGATTCCTATGAGTTTTATTCATTTTATGGTTTTCTGTCAGTATCACACACAGTTTCCTTTGAAGCAAGCCAAAGCTTAGCTCTGAACAAACTGAACTTACAGGTTCAAACCCATAGTAAAAGCAGGACTTGGAAGTTTCCAATGATGTGTGAACCTAAAGTGAATTTTCTGCATTCAAAATCCTAATTAGCTCCATCCCTACACAAAAGTTAAGGACATCACTTATTAGCAATGCTTATATCATAACTTGCTATTTTTCCACCTCCAATTATAAAAGAGCTTCTATAAAAATCAAGCACTGCTAAAGATTTCCCCTCCATATATACAACCACACATAAAACTTATTCATCCTATGAAGCAGACAGAAAGCAAAATGCTGTAGATGGGATCAACAGAACATAAGGATAATAATGAACCATTTCAT